GAGTTTTCCAGTTTGACAGCTTTTCTATGGGAATGAGTATCCAAGCAGTAACTGCAGGGAGAGCACCCTGCCTTTAATGAAAATGTCACGTGAGATTGCATCCAAAAGCTTTCCTGAAGTCTGAAATATGTGATGTCTCATGTTAATACCTTACCCGTAAGATCTGAATCCCTGCTCTGAAATGAGAGCGGATTGATTTGACATGATTAGTTGTCAACCTGTTAAAAACTGTAAGATGAAAGGAACTCCAGATTGTTAGAGCTCTGGTAATACATCATTCCTTTCAGTCTCGTAGTTTCAAATCAGCTTCTTGATTGAAGAAGGCAGGAAGAGAGCCTGACATAGATTCTCAATGTTTGGGATGGCAAAAGCCATGTAAGTGCTTGGGGAGCAGTGTGGGGATTCAGCAGGAGGATTTAGCTAATGGTCTGTACTGTGCAATGTCTGTAACCACAGAGAAGCATATGAGTAGATGATTGTTTAAGCTAATCCAGAGAGTTAAATACTTGGGAATCAAATGGAGCCTAGGGTGTATCATTCTTCTTGGGGGTTATGAAGTGAGAGAGATCGTGTGTGTGAGGGAAAGCTGGATCATAATCTCTGCTCAGAGGAGTTCCAGGCTGCTAATGAGAGCCTAGCAGCTGAAAGGGGCAGCCTGTGGGTGGCTCAGTGAAGGGAACAGCAATACAAAGTCAGAAGATGCTGAAAGCGTGGAAGAGAGTGGCAAAGTCACCCTCTGTGAGGGAAAAGGACAGCTTCCAAGCTACCCGGGAAGTGTTCTTTCTCTGCTGCTTGCTTTGTTGTAAATACACAAAAGTAATGTATTGTCATTTACTTGTGGTTCCTTCCAATAAGAAAACCTCACTGTGTGAAGCCATCATGTGGTTTCAGCAGTGCTCTGGCAAAAGGCACGCTATGTACAGCTGAGAGGGTCTTAGCTAAATTATATACACAGCATCAAACTGCAGGGGAGAGAGAACCAATGTAAAGATTTAGGAAAAAGCAGGGCGGTTTAAGACAACTGCAGTGTGCTGAGTGTTCGTGCACTAAAGAAAATGCTACTTGGACAGGAGTAGATGAAATAGATTCTATATTCAGCAGCTGTGAATTAAAGCATAAATAAAATCTGGAGGGAATAATAAATTTTCAGGTGGTGGTTGTTGTTGTTATGAACTTGCATCTGTAAATGAAAGATCTGAAAGCAGCTCTTAAATGAGCAGTTTCTTACTGAAGCCATGGACATATTCCTTAGTGTACTGAGAACTGCTTTGCTGTTGCTCTGGCTTTTACCCTGGAGTCCCTCACCTTCCAGTCTGCTTCCTCTTGGTCATTCCTAATAGAGTGTCTCTCTGATTTCAGAAAATTGGTTGATAGACTTCTCTACTGAAAACGCTAGACAAATGCTCCTTCTTGGAACTGACATCAGGAATGTTATACAAGACATTCTTAAATATGCTGGCAGCTGCCCTGAACGTAATGAAATCATGGAAATTAGAAGTACTGCGCTCTCTGTGTGGCCAGCTCAGGACTGTTTTCACTGTGTTACCCAGTTTTGCTGTGAATTTTAAAAGGAATCACTTTTCATTACGTTTTCTTGGGACGTTCTTCAACACGCTTATAATTTCTACAGTCAGGAAAATTTATCCTGCTATTCTAAGGTGCTGCTCCTTTGTTTTGAAATGCTCTTAATTCCTCATGCCCACATCCCTTTGCGCTGCACTAAATGGTTCCTGTTGCAGCAGAGTTTACAGTCTTCAGAAGATCGAAAACTTTTCCTGTAGAAATGCTTGTGTAGGGTAAAATCCTATTTCCACTGCAGCCAGCAGTAAAATTCCCACAAACTTAAGTGGTTTGGATTTCACATGCAGTTTTTAGTCTGCTCTTGTACGACATTAGTTAATCCTTAACACATTCTTGGTAGAGAAGGTGTGTAAATGCAGCAAAGTGGCAGAGGAGCTGTGGTGTGTACTTTGGGTGTCAGTCCCTCCCATGCAGGGAGCACAGAGCAGATCTGAAAGAGAGGTGAGAACCCACAGCAGTGTGCAAGGAATGGATGGTATTTTTAGTCTTCTGAAGTGCCAAGAGCGGAAGGGAAGGACCTTCTCTCTGTGGGTATGTGTGAATGGAAGCACCGTGCTGGCTCCCGTGTTCCCTTCCCTTGGTCTGTGGTGCTTTCACCTGTTGCTTCTCTGTAGCTTTGGTGTGTTTTCATTGGATATTCTGAACTTGGGTTTTCCAAGGTGAATTAATTTTATTTACCTGTTTTTTAGTGCCTGGCTTCTTCTGTAGTTTCTTTGTTGGAGGCTTACAAAGGTCCCTAAAGTAATTGCAGTTGTGTTCGTTTGAAGTAATAATATTCCATTCCTGTCAACAATTAATAGCACTGTTAAGCAAGAGTCAACTGACTGAAAACTCAGCCCAGATTCATATGCTGTCACTTAACACTTGCTGTTGGAACCAGCAAGTTCTGGCTCGAGGATGAGGAGCACTGAAAGGACTGGGGCTGCCCTGGCTGTTGGGAAAGGAGGCACTGTGGTGCTCGGTGAGAAAACAGCTGTTGTGAGAGAATGGCCTGGAGGTGGAACAGGGCATCTCTGTCCCTTGTGATGCCCTCGGCTTTACCGAGCAACTGCAGAGGCAGCTGACCAAAGGAAGCTTGTAGGTGTACTGCAGGGCACAGCAATCTGTTGGAAGCAGGTTTCCATCTGCATGATGCGATGCAAACAAGATGGTTTCTGGCATGAAAAGCCTTCAGTTGAGACATCCAATCATTAGGAATGCTACGGCCAGAAACTTTCATAATAAATTACTGTAAACTCGTGGAAGATTGATCTTTTTTGATTTCAGAGAAAATAAATCAACAGTATGAAGTCAGTTCTGTTACAGTTTCAAACAAGAGCCTATTACCCTTTGCCTTAAAGATCAGAGACAAATTACTATTTTTACTTTACGTTCTCTTGATGAGGATAATGATAAACATCTGTCACTTTGCTGCTTAGCCAGCTACAAATCTTACTGCAAACTGTAATTTAAACAGTGGGAAAAAAATAAAAGATACATGAACAAACTGCACTTTATATAGTGAAGAAGAAAAGAAAGAGAGTAGAAGTCAAATTCAGGGGAATTGGGAAGGAGCCATTTTTAGTTTGCTTGGCTAAAATCTGCAGATATATGACAGATGTATGATTTTCCATTTATTTGGTATTTCACAGGGAAATTTAACATCAGTTTCTCTTCAGACATAGAGACTAAGGAAGATAGTCTGCGTGCTCTGACTTTTTGGTGCATGCAGTTTATTAACAAAATTATTAAGGTTTATTAGGTGTGTGCCTACTGGTGTTACAGCATAGAAAACCCTATTTTCATCAAGAGTCCTCCACAGTCCTGAGATTTTTAGGAAGCACTGCTAATTATTTTTGAAGATTAGCTGTCCTTTCAGTAGTTCACCTGTACTTTTGAAACTCCTTTTGCTATCACTTGCTTTTGTTTCTCAATGGTACAAAACTGTAACTTCACAAATCACAAACGAGCCATTTAATTTAGACTGGACTGACCAAGATGTAGTGTATAAGGAACAGATACAAAGTGCTAAATGAGCAGAAGCTGACCCTGCATTAGGAGAGGAGACTAGAAATCCCTTTTTGACCTAGTAAGAAGGGATTTCATGCCAGGAGAAGCCTCTTTGGTGATGTTTGCATATCCAGCTCTAATGGCCTTTCACTGATGGGTGAGATACTGATTTCAACTGCTCCAGGAATCTCTAAAGCACCAGAGATGTGCAGATTTTATCTAAACACTCTCCTGTAAATGGAGCTGTGCTGGTAGGGCTCTGGCTGATACATAACTAGTTCTCCTTACTGGGTTCTTCAGGTTTGCAAGGACTTTCTCTTTCTTCATGTCCTTCATGTTCGAGGCCAGGCTGGATGGGGCACTGGGCAAGCTGGTCTAGTGAAAGGAGGTGCCTGCAGGAACCTGCCCCTGGCAGGAACGAGATGAACTTTAAAGTCCCTTCCAACCCAAAGTGTTCTGGGATTCTGTAATTTTTATGCTTCCAGGTATCCACAGAACAGATTTAGATTTTATAGTTCAAGGTAATAAGGCTCTGGCAGTCATTTTCAGGGAGAAGTATTATATATCAGAGTTTGGGGAGCGTTGTTCTTTGTACTCTCTGGATAGAAATTCCATTCTTTTGGCATCTTGGAGCCTCAGAAAGCAGTTTGATTTTCACCAAAAGACTACTATTATTTTTTTTAGGTTTTCTTATATTTATACAGGCCAGACTGGAGCAAAGTACAGGCCTTTTAGCTTCTAGTTAAAGTTCCTGGTATTTTCTTTAATTAGCTCAGCTGTTTACATACAAAGAAGTGTTTTTCTGCCCAATGAAAAAGACACCTCTAATATATAACCCAGCAAATGTTATACTGAGCCTTGAGCACTGGAACCAATGATGCTTTTGCTGTTATCCTTCATAAATCTTTTGTTTATGTAGGTGCTATTCTCACCTAACAGGTTTGAGGCTGAACTATGGAATTTGGCACAAACAAGTCAGCCTGAAGTAACAAGGCTGGGTTTTACCTGTAGGAGGGTAACATTCAAAATTCAGACTTAGGGTGTTGCTTTCTTCAAGCTGACTGAATCTGAACGGTAAAAGATTTGTTAGTAAGTATTGCAGTAAGTGATCTGAGGTGATAATTTTTTGGTGTGTCATTTACCACCTCTTGTCTTTGTCTGAAAACTTCGTTTAATACTTGTTTGGAAATATATGATGTACTTCGTGCAGAAGGTCTCATATGGCATTAACTTTAAAGGTCCTAATTTCATGGTGCTGAACAGTAATATTAAAGTCCAATACTTCAGATTTTAACCTCTGGGTACTCTTTGTATGAGTTACATCGCTGGATTATTACAGTTTAAGTCCAGGGGTTTTTTTCCCCCAGTATATTTCCAGTTTACTGCAATCTGAAAGACTTGACGTTTCTTTTTATTTTTCTTTCATGTAGACTGAGAATGAGGAGAATGGCCAAGCAGACAATTTTTCAATGGACCCCCAGCTAGAGAGACAGGTGGAGACAATTCGAAATCTCGTGGACTCCTACATGTCTATTATTAACAAATGTATCCGAGACTTGATACCGAAAACAATCATGCATCTTATGATCAATAACGTAAGTAGCAGCCAGGCTTCTAAATTATTTCAACATGTCTGTCAGATCTCTTACCCTCAAGCACACCTCTTGGGTGCAGCAGCAGCAACAGCGTGTACTAAAGATCCCATAAATGCCACACTCTTAGACAAAATATCCCAATATTCCATAGTATTGGGAAGTTCTGCCGCCTTCTCAAAGGCTGGCACGCTGCCTTTGGTGCTTACCCCAAAATGCTAAAGACTGAATTAATTTACATCTCAGTCAGACTGTAAGTTATTATTTAAAGGGACATCCAACTAGGTTGGGGTTGGCTTGTTTGTTGTTTTGGTGGGAGGAGGAAGTTTGCTATAAGAGGAAAAGGGAGGACGCACAGGAAAAGTGGGAGCTCCATCTGGGCAGTCTGTGAGAGCAGCAAAGCAGAGTTGCGCTTCCTTGATTTTCAATCTACAGCCTTTTGTCATGGGTTCATAAAGCAGTCCTTATTTTATTTGGGTTTCTTCATATTTTCAGGTTACCATTTTAAAGGAATTAATCTAAAAACCTTGGGCAGTGTTGTTTAGATAAGCAGATGTGGTTGGTTGATTTACTGTGATGCATCTTCCTTAGATTTGAAGATTATTTGGTTAAAGAAATGGCTTTGAGATACTGTTTTCCCACTGCAGTAGGATCTCAGCCTTTGCTGCCTGGCAGAGTTCTGAATGGACCCTGTTGAAAGCTGAGCTTAATATCAGTGCCACTGCTGCCATAGAAATTACTAATGGGGGGCACAGCTCCTGCTAGCACCGCTTCTGTGAGGTCATCAGACCAGTCAGTCTTTACAAATACAATATGCTGTGAGGCAAACCTGGTTAGAAGGTAGCATTTACTTTTGACTCAGAGCCACTTCTAGCCTTCATCTGATGGATTTCATTAGCCCCGTGGAATTTGTGTTGCATTTAAGAGTTAGGTGGTTGGACAGAAAATTTCAGTGGGATTTTCTGGTAGGTATAATACAAGGAGAATTTTTGCATGAGAGCAAGAGATATTTCATGAGCTTCTTTGGGTTTAGCCATGGGTGAGTTTTTACCAAAAAAATGGGAATAATGGAACTGCCTTTTTTTCCCAGAAATCAGCCATGCTCTTGACTTTTTAAGGTGAGTCTGTTCTCACTGCTCTTTCCAAATCACCCCTAGCAACTTGCTGCTTTGACTTAGCCCATCTCCAGTGCCTTTTGAAAGGGCTGGGCTTCAGCTCTCATTTCATAAACAGCAGAGCTGGGTGAGCAGTTCCTTTTGAAAGCTTACATTAAATTTTCTGCCACTCACCTCCTCATATGGAATCGTTTAAGGGTCTCTGAAGTGTGTGCGTTACTCAGAAGTAGATGACTGTAAGATTTTGTACTTTCAATCTCATCAGCTGTCAGTGACATTGATAGAGCCTGCCATGCTGGCTGGCCATGGCACACAACAAAAAACATGCTTAAAGCATCAGCTACCTTGCAGTTGGCCTCATTTGGGCTTCCTAGTGAGCTCAGGCCTGTCCCTCCATCCTACAAGTTAAATTTGTGGCAAAGAATCAAAGCACTTTAAAGGACTGTGAAGAGTGGGGCTAGAAGCACTAATGAACTTGTTTCTGTACAGCATAGGCAGTAAAGTACTATATTAAAAATAGCTAAAATATCAATTTAAAAAAAATCAAGGCTATTAAAAAGAGAAAGAAATGTTTGAATTAAGACTGATGAACCATGCCAAAAGGTTGTGCAGAGACCTGGAAAGCTGTGGAGCTGTGATGGAAGGTGGGTCCTATTAAGTTGTGTGTGTGTTCCTTGGTGTCTTCAGAAGTCCAATCCATCCACAAGGAGTTAAGTGAAAACACCCCCGTTCACCCCTAATGAGCACACTCTGTATTTTCTGCTGCCCCATCATGTTGCCTCCAAAACTCCGGAAACAAATCGATCCCAAGGAGTTTGTTTCCATGACAATTGTAACCTCCCAAGCTTTCCTAGAACTTCCTTTCCACTTTGTGGGCCTGTAAACAAGCACTTAAAATTCAAGGAAAGTATCAGATTCAAACTCAGTGTACAGAAAATAATTACATGTTGTCCCTGAGCATATTTTGAGGCCTAAACCTAGACTATTGTATTCCAAATGCGTTGCTTATTGTTCCCTTAGGGTGGATGTTGATTACCTTAAAAGAAAATACGTTTACCACACAGAACTGCATTGAGTTACCATCAGCAATTCAAACATGCCCAAACAAAACACACATTTCCAGTTTGTATTTCGTGGTGCCCAGGTATCCTTGGTGCGTGGTCTCAGAGCAGTCAGCGTGTGCTCCATAAGCAGTGCTGGTAGTGATCTCAGCTGAGTAGAAAAACTCCAAAGTACCTGTTATTGCTGAACTGAAGGGTGAGGAATGGGTTGTGCTTGCATTTGAGGCAGTGATGTGTGTTGTAGACTTCTCCCTGATGAAGTTACAAACCTCCCTTACCCTACTTCAGAGTGACAGGGCAAGCTCCAGGGCACTGGCCTTTTGGATGCTTCCTGTGGTTCAACTTTGACATTTTAAACTATTCCTGTGAGTCTGTTTTCCAGAAGGGATCAAAGGTGTGAGTAAGCAGCACTTTCCCTTCCATTCCCAAGCTGGAGAAAGTGGCTACTGAGGAAGATCTTCCTCTGTCTAGTACAGCATTTCTGATTGCAGAGGGCAGGAGGCTGATCCAAGAACCGTCCTCAACACAGCAGTCAGCTCTTTCCAGAGGAGCTCAGGCACTTACTCGGGTCCCCTGCTAGTAACAGACAGGGACCTCTCATGATAATTGTCACAGGCTGATTTTTTTCAAACAGATATTTGTGGTTTAACAATGCTTTTACAATCAGCTCTGGCCTTAATCTAATTTTAGGACTTCTTCTTCTTCTTTTTTTTGAAGTGATGCCATTAAAATGCTCGTTTCATCGAGCAGAATGTGATGCTGTTTAACTATGATATCTGTTTTTAATGTGGAGTTTTTGGCAATCATGAGGAAAGTAGTGTACTCTGGCTCTTGATCAGTACCATCTACTGGAAAACAGCATGAAACCCATGGAAAATTTTTGCAGGCTTTGCTAATAATTTGTGCATCTCCTGTCATACGTGAATAGAGAATGACAGCCAAGCCCAGGCAATATGGTTTTGTTTCCCCGTGAGGTCTGTCTTGGCCACCTTCTCATTGCTGGGTGACCAGAAAGGCTCCCTTGCCTGAGCTGCCTGACTGCTCTCACTGACCTCTCCTGAACACAAACAGTGCCTTAGTCAGGATTTAAATCAGCGTTGCTAAACCAGCACAAACGGAGTTCAGGTTTATGTAATCAGAATCCTGGGAATGTATTATCGTCAGTATCTGCTGCTCAAAAAAGTTTTATAGAGCAAAGCACCAGATGAGAAATAGATCACAACAGAAACCAAAGTCTCAAATGCAAGGATTTAGTAGGTCAGCAGTTGGTCTATTTACCACAGTCTCATTTAATCAGAGTACCTCAAGCTTTTTATGTCTCTTAATGTGGCCCAGGTTTCCATAACCAGGGCAGGCATAGCAGGAAATCAATATAGTAAATTAGATTACTTGGAGACTTCTCTCTTCGGTTGGAGTGTGTGTGGATGAGATATTCAGAATCTGACAGAGTTGTTGGAAATTAAAGGCAGTGTCTACAGTAGGGTAAATTGTTGCTAAGAAAATAAGTGACACACATGTTATAAAGCCTGAAAATTCTAATTCCATGGGGAATCTAAATCTGATGGTACTGTCATTTACCTCTCAGTCAGCCATTTCGAATTGGACCAAAATGCCAGCTGACTCCTGAGAGCTGCTGGGAAGCCTGTTTGAAATGAAATGTAAACGTAGGTGTCACCTTAGAGATGTAGAACAGTGTTAACTCCAACCATGTCAGCATTTCACAGATAGACCCAAAAAAAGGCCCCAGTGCACTGTGGAGCGACTGCACAAAACCATCTTATTATCAGATGTGAGTTGCTGTCTCAGAATGTGGCTTTGTAGTTGCCATAAGCCCATCTGTGTGCAGGCAGCTGCTAAAAGGTCCAGTCCATCCTTTTCCAGCTGCGGGGCCCAGCTCCATGTGCCAGCCTTTCCTTGGGACACAGCTAGACCTCAGGCTGCTGCACCATCAGCTCAGTCCGAGTTCTGCATCTTTCAGTCCCTGGTGTGACCCAACAAAAACTGCATGAGCGGTAGAATTGGTGAAAACTAGTAGGAGAAACTGATTAAATTGAGGTATGTCTATCACCACTGTATTTGTTCAGTGTTGTATTTCCCTCGCAGAGATTTTGTTTGTTTATTTCTTTGGTGGTTTGGGGTTTTTTTTGTTTGTTTTGTTTTGTTTTGTTTTTTTCTTGATGAAATAGGTAAAAGAATTTATCAACGCAGAGCTCCTGGCTCATTTGTATTCTTCTGAGGACCAAAACACTCTGATGGAGGAGTCGGCTGAGCAGGCGCAGCGCCGGGACGAGACGCTCCGCATGTACCAGGCACTGAAGGAAGCCCTGGCAATCATTGGGGACATCAGCACTAGCACTGTCTCAACCCCTGCTCCCCCTCCTGTGGATGACTCGTGGCTTCAGCAGGCCCGCAGGTGAGGAGCCTCCAATCTGCATTGCCGTGAAATTCGGGACAGGCAGACACAGTCGGCATCAGTAGCTCCCTCCCTGCCTGTCTTTTTGGGAAGGTGCTCTTCCAGGTTTTTAATGACGTCTGTGAGGGAAATCAAAACATATTTCCACATATACATCTTCTGTGGATATGTATGTGTAATCAGATAGGAATATTTGCCTTATGGAAGACCATCCACTGGATTTGTAGCTTGCCTGATGCTTCAAATAGCAGCTGCTCCTGTCACCCCAGCTGTACATCCACAAGGCCTCTTTCTTGCAAGCTGTTACAATAATTCAGCATCTCAGGCTCTGTGTCCTAGAAAATCTACTTAACAACACATTATTAGAACTTGAATAATAAGATCTATTACATTTACCTCTTTGCTTGCATGTTGTCGATGAAAGAGGTGTGGGACTTAAATATATGTGGTCCTCTGACGCCGACAGCAAAGGAAAATGCCAAGAAAAAGCAGCTGCCATAGGAATAAAGGTTTTAACTTCCGTTTAGAGTAAAATAAAATACAACAAACAAAACCCCCACCTTAATGAACTTTTAAAATCTCTGTTTCTTCACTAGATCACCTCCTCCAAGTCCTTCAACTCCAAGGAGACCTACACTAAACAATCCCCCAACCAGACCTTTATCTGGCCGAGGACCCGCTCCTGCAATCCCATCTCCAGGCCCTCAGTCGGGGGCTCCCCCGGTGCCGTTCCGCCCAGGACCGCTGCCTCCATTCCCAAGTGCTGGAGAAGCCCATGGAGGACCCCCCCAGGTTCCCTCTCGGCCCACGCGGGCTCCTCCCAGTGTGCCAAGGTAAGATGTGGGATCTCCCCGGGGGTGCCGTGGTTCTCTCCCTGGCAGAACAGACACACCCCGCGCTGTGCTGGGCAGCTGAGTGCCGTTGTTGAGGGAATCTGGTAGCAAAGCAAAACTGGGCATTCCCTACAGAGAGTCAAAGCTGTTTGGAGGAACCAATTTTTAGCACAAATACAACTTTTTAAAAAGATAGGAAGATTTTTTTTTTTTCTCATTTAAAAAGAGATTGCAATCAGTCAGTTGGAAGACCCTGATTTCCTTATATTAAGACCTCCAGTTCTGGTTGTGTTGTTCCCACACGGGGGTTCAGAGAGAGAGGTCACCTACCCCTCCACCAGAAGAGGTGCAGGGGTGCAGGTCCTCACCTCTGCCATTCTGAATCCTCCCCAGAGGAAGTAATGGCTCTTCTGGGATAGATCAGGAGCAATCCTTGCAGAACCAGTGGAACAAACTGGTAGGAGTCTGACTCTTGTCCCACAGGGCCAGTAATTTACAGCCAGTTGAAAACAGTCCATATTGTAGATCATATGGTACAAAACAATTAGTTAAAGAACAGGATTTTCTTCAGCACAGTTTCCTTTTCTTCCCCGGGCTTTGCATTTATCAGGGCTTTTTAAAGTAGCTTTGCATATTTTATAATTTTCTGTGGCATTAACTGCTTTTTTATATAGGTTATATGGATAAAATGTCCTTCATGTTTATTTTCACAATGATGTAATACACATAATCACTCATATACACATATGTATATATGAAAACCTCTGATTCCAAGGGCTTCATTAAGTTCCTAAATTATGAGGGGCGTGGGCAGAATAGGCAATGCTGGAACAAAGGAGTTTCTCCATTTTTGATAAATTAACTGTTACACTAAAAGTAGTCATGGTTTTAAAAAAAACTCGCCAGTTAAATAGAAACAAAAATAAAATGTGCACATTTTCAATTTTAAAAATGGTAATCGAGAAGAGAACCTTTGGAGAAAAACTTTATTTTAAATAGATGAGATCCGCTGTAGTTGTCAGTAACTTAAACTTGAGGCTTAGTGTTTCAAATATAATTACCCTTTATAATAGAAAGAATAAATAAATGAGGTATATCAAAGGAATGGAGTATTTTTATGAATTTTCTATGAAAAGGGTGTTGTTGCATCAATGCCCAACCACAAAACACACTCTTTCACCTTAGTGGATATCCTGTAGCTTTGCAGTAGGGACCGTTGGGGAGAAGCCTGGAATTGCCTTGCTAAGCTTTGCAAGGGAAGGGAAGGAGCCCAAGGATCATCCCCTCGTGGGCGAGCCTGGGGCTGGGCCAGAGGGCTCTGGCCCCGGTGCTTCCTCTGTGCCATGAGAGGGTAAATGACAGATTAGAGACGGAGATGGGGCCCAGTGTTTTGCCCGTTGTGCTGCCGGAGAGAACCATGGCTCCTGTCACCCGCCTCGCCAGCCAGCGCGTCTCCCTCCTCCTGCCCGGCCGGGGTTGTGCATGGACGCTGCTTTCCTGAGGTGGCTTGCCAAGAGCATGTCTGATGATCGTCTCTTTCGTGCCAAAGTGATAGGCGGGATGGAGACCAGAAAGGAATTTTCTAGCGCGCAAAAGACACGTGGGTAAGCGGCCTGGGAATGACTCAGTTCGGGACTGCCACTGGTGGCGTGGAAAGCACTGGTGGATAAAGGAGGTCAGTGATTTTTAAAATGCTGTAGCTGGATACATAATTGAATGTGTGACTGCCTGACATTTTTGTGGAAAAAATATCTGCAATACCCATCTTCTGGGCTGGATCTTAGTTCTCTTTTAGAGCTATGAAAGCCTCGGACAAAAAAAAATATATATAGCTGCTGAAGGATGAAGGAAAGGTTTGCTGGTCTGCTGAAACTTCAGGCTTCTCCTGCTGACTAAAGTGCGAGGGAGGAAATCCCAGGGAAGGGGCTGCAGGGGAAATCACCTGAGGGGGACATTGTGGCCAGCTCCTGTGCCTATTAAACTTTTCTTTTAAGCCCAGGAATTTCAGCTACGCTTGGTCTGGTTTTAATAACAGCCTTTGCAGGATCATAGGAAATTGACTCAGAAAATGGGTCTGAGATATTAAAAGTGGGGGGGGAAAGTGTTTTGAGGAAGGGTTCTTGTAGAAACTTGTGCTTTTTCTGTGACTTGCTTTTGAACTGGGGCTTTGTGCTCGAACTGCTCCGCCACCATTTTCTGCAGTGATTCCTTGAAGTGTCGGGATCTCTCCTATCTAGGGAAATAGTTTAGCTTCCTGAGAAGAAAGCAGCGTTTTTAAAGTTTATCTCGCTCTCCAGAGGAGTTTTTCTTGCAGCCCCTGCCATGTGGAGCTGAAAATCTCTGACATGCTGAAGAAATATAAGGTTTCCATTTTCTGCTGTTCTGCCTTAAGATAAAAGATCATTTTCAGAGGGTAAGACTTGGGACTGTCCTTTTCCAATGAGCAGCTTAGCACACGTTTGGTGTGGAAAATTTGGCACCTTTTAGTGAGATACAGCCCCTGTCTTAAAAAACATAACTTTTTTCTTCAACTTTATTAGTTGAATAATAATATTCAACTTAATATCAAAGGAATTGTACAGAAATAGCAAGCTCTCAGTGTTTTCTCACCATTCCTCCCTTAATGTACAGGGAAAGGGAAAGAGTTAGGGGAGCAGGAAATAATTTTCTTCCTTGCCTCGCTCTGATTCTAAAGCTGTTTTGGGTTATGTGCTCTGAATATTTCTGTAAGGAAACAGAAACTATTTGCATGATACATGCCTCTTTTAATTAATCCCACTTGAGGTGGGTGGATCTCTCCCAGCAAAGCCTGTGAGTAAAGGCCTCTGGCTTTAAGGGCTTGATGCCAAAGCATATATGATTTGTGAAATATTCTCCACTGCCAGAATTTAGATTATTCCCCCTCCCTCTTAAAAGGCTGCCGTAGTATTTTGAAAGAAAATGCAGCTGTGTGCTTGCTTTGGTAAGATGACTTTAAGCAAGCACTGGAGCCACTTCAGCTTCCCATGATGTGTCTTTGCCTGCCCGTGTGGAAAGGCCGATCTTGACCAATCCAAGTTCTACCGTGGATGCTTTGATTTATAACTTTTAAATGCCCTGAACGTGAACCTCAGCTTTGCCACCAGGAAAACCATTGAATTGGAAATGTTTTTTTCTCCTGGCAGCAGAGCCCGTGGTGTTTGTGGAGGTGGGAGAGTGCTCCCCTTTTCTCCCCGTGCCCTGCTCTGCAGAGCTGCTGGGGATTCGTGGAGCCTTCCCCAACAACGCCCCAAAGTTCATCACTCACTTTGTCATCGAAACATGAGTGACCCCGCTCTGTGACACCCTGGAAAGGGTGCTCTGAGCCCATGTCACCCTCAGGCATGTGGTGCTGGTCCCCAGGGGCTGGGGGTGGTCTTTACATGCGAGGCAAGTGGTGGGGAGGGAATTCGTGTCGTGCTGTTCGTGATCAGCCACATTCTGTCCCTACAATCAATCTCCTTCAACCCACAGCCTGCCAGCGTGGAAGGGCTGGTGGGGGCTCTGCACTACCTTTTATTAAGCCCCCCAGGCTAATGACATGACCTGCTGTGTTGGTAGCTAATCTGCATTGTAAGCCATCATTACATATTTCTGCCAAACCAGCACAAGGAAGTGCTTTTACCTGACAGTATTACAGGTAGAAATTTGCAGACAAAGTCAGGAGCGCTGCAGAAAGCATTACTGCCTGGCTGCCACCTCATTGCCAAATATCAGCCGTTCAGTACGTTTTCTGGGATGGATTTTTAGGGATTAGAGTTCTTTGGAAAGATTTAATGTGATGTCTAACCCTGTGCATTGAATGATAAGGGGATCCCTTGCAAAAATTGCACGTGATCCTCTGAATAAAAGGCACGTAAGACCAGGGGAGTTATCCTGCCTTAACCTGGGAATCTTCTTTCTCCTCAGAGTTTGACCTTGCAGCCTTAAAAGCTTACTACTGTATTTTTAATGCAATATAAATAGTAATCCAATAGCCACTGCATCAGACTCTACTGGCAGGATGAGTAAGTGCCCACCTTAGAGCATTTGCATGCTGACTTGGATGATCTCGGTCTGAACACCCAAATAGAAGAGCACAGCTCTGTCCAGCATCCGTGTGTCCTCTTTGAGTGGTCTTCAGTGAAGGTTATATTCAAAAAGTATAATCAGCAATTAGGAGTGTTTTCATGCAAGCAAAGAGACAAGAGTGTTATATGGGGGGATTTCAAAATCCTGCTGATTTTCATGAGAAAAGAAAGCCAAAGAATAATTTAATTTAATTCTGTATTTCACGTCTGTGATCAAAAGAATATACAGCTACATGGGTGAGGCAAAGCCAGAGCCCCCCAAGAAGGGGATAGTGATCTTCTGTAGTCCATATGTTTCCAACTCTGCCTGTCCAAAGACCCCAAAATCACAAGACTTATGAGAATATCAGTTATTCTTTCTGTGACTTCTGCCCAGGGGGAAGACAACCCTGTGTAATTTGTTACCCGTCTAAAGTACATTTCTTGTTGAAGTGCACACCCAGTAATATGTTACTTTGCTGCTGGCTGCTTCAAGCAGCAGCCTCCGTTTATTTTCCCTTATCTCTTAGAAAGGAGTTCTGCATTTCCCCCTCCTCCACTGGCTCCTTTTTCACTATTTTCCTTTTTTTCTGCCATTCCCTTGCTGTCCCTTTCCTGACCATACTGTTTGCTTCCTCTTTCAACTTTTTCCTTCCCTTGGTTTCCTGCCTAGTCCATTTGTCTGCCTTCCCCACGTATCCCCTCCTTTTCTTCTCACCATCTTGTCTTGGTTTCTTTCCAACTTACCCCTTCTCTTCCCTGCCACCTTTGTAAATCTGTCTTCCTTGCATTTCAGCCTTCTTTTTAAGTTTTCAAGCCATAAAATGCAATATTTGGCAATCTTTTGCAACTGCCTGGCGGCAGTGCCTGTGACACCCATCAGAAACACGAGCTGCACTACTTGGGGCCACGTTCTGCCATGTGCAAAAACAG